ACAAAGAAAAATCAAACGTGACAGGCATACACGAGGCAGTCTATGAGTCCCCATATTCAGCATTCTAATTAGCCATCCCAGAGTCAACTCTAAAGCCCTGACTGCTAGTCGTCTCAATCCAAGCTTAAGTCTGATAGCAAAACCTGGCGTTCCTGAAGGAAGCAGGAGGATTTGTTTGTAAAAATCTGACTGTGTTCTTTCTATCTGGTCAAAATGCCCTAGGCCCCACGACGCCACAGCATAAAACAATGTTGGAGAAATCACACTATCGAACAATTTTAGTTTTGTACACCACGCATCTGATTTGGATTTCACCAAGATCGATTTTGTGACGCCGATCGCCGATTTTGCCTTATTGATCGCATGTCTCGCTGTTCCAATGCCTTTCAAATTACTCTCTATTAGGACCCCCAGATATTCGTATGATTTTACTGTTTCAAGAATTTCATCATCATACTTAAATGCTGCCTTTTCCGCCTTATGTATCCTCCCACTGATCCTGAAAGGCAGAACTTTAGTCTTACTCGTATTGACTTTAAGACCATTCAAATCACAATATTTTTTCAACGCCACAAGTTTTTTTTTAACATCAATAGGACTAAAACAAAGCAGAGCCGTATCATCCGCGTATGTAGGCATTAAAAGATCATGCGAGGAGTCGATACTGACCCCCCTGAACCCCCCATCCCTAAAAAATTTCTCGAAATCGGAAACAAATAGAATGAAGAGAAGGGGACTCAAAATCTCCCCCTGCAAAACCCCTCTGTAATTTCAAAATTCCTAGTTTTCTCCCCCTTCAATCTCACAAAAGCTTCAGCTTTATTATACAAATCCACAAGGACCTTCAAGATCCTGGAAGAGAGACCCAGGCAAAAAAGCTTAGACCACAAGAGGTCGTGAGGTACAGAATCAAAAGCACGCCGAAAGTCTATAAAAATCGAGTATACCGTGCTCCCTGGGTTTCTGATATTTATCTGAACGGTCGTAATTAAAGAGAAAATCTGATCCTCACAACCTCTTCCGCGACGAAATCCCGCCTGTGACTCCGGCAAAATCTCAGAAGATTCCATCCATTTCTCAATCCTAACAGCCAGAATCTTTGTGAAGATTTTGAGGATACTATTTGTAAGGGCGATTCCCCTGTAATTACTAGGATCATCCACTGGACCCTTCTTGTGCAGCATCGTCAAAGCAGCGCAGGGCCACGCGTCCGGAACCACCCCCCTGTCCCAGATTTCATTCAAAAGATCCAATACAAAATCCAAACCTATCTGGGGCAGAGCCTTCCAAAATTCATTAGGAATCAGGTCCGGACCCGGGGCCTTGCCAACCTTAGCAGACCTCAAGGCAGACGATAATTCTACGAGAGTAATTTTGCCATCTAAAAAAGGATGCCTCACATCCGCGAATGAGACTTCAAAGAAAATCCGAGGTGGATAAATGGCAAGATAAAAACTCTCCCAGACTTCTTTAAGTATGACATTCCCTCCCGCATATTTCTTTCCCAATTCCCTGATAGTTTCCCAGAACTCAATTATATTTTTAACATTAGCGATCTTACGTCTCAGCTCAATATAAAATAATTTCTTTTTAACATCTACAAGTTCTTTGAACTGTTTCTTCTTCATGTGTAAATCTTCAAGTAACATAGCGTCTACAATCACATTCTCATTTATTCTATTATTTTTATAAACTTTCCAGGCCCTATTTGCTTCAGATTTGCATTTCCGAGCCTCTTTATCCATCCACTTTCTGTTATACTGAGTGGTTCCACCTTCTGAGGCGCCATGTCTATCCTTACACAACACTAGCATTCCAGTTTCCTGAGCACAAGTAATGATGGCATTTCTCAGAAATTCATTCCGCTCCTCAATTCCCTCACCACAATTAGGGACTTTCTCGGAGAGCCAACATTCCAGCTTATGAGTAAATTCTCGTCCAGAGGCTGGGTTCCATTTTAACTTCTCAAAAGAGGATACAGAGCTATCCAATCCAATATTTAATATAACATCTGGACAGTAAAGAGATAACAACACTGGGAAGTGGTCAGAAGAAAAGATATCGTCAAAAATTACCAATCCCTGGACAAGGTTCAGAGCTGCAATGTTGACCCAACATAAATCTACAGTACTGACACCGTGATGGCTACTGAAAGTCAATTGCCCAGGACAGTCCCCTGGAGCCCGACCATTCACCAAAAACATTCCATTCTCATTCATCACATTCAAAAGGACCCGGCCCTTTGTCTTCACTACACTATCACAGCACAGACGCTCACTAATCATCATCGAGTCACCAAGCAACAATTCTGGAACCATGTCATTGAGGTTGCCTATTCTGCCGTTGAAATCCCCCGCAATGATAAGAGGGTCATTACCCACTCTCTCCACAATGTTGCTCAGCGTGGCTCCAAGTAGATCGATGACGGCATCATACTGCGACTCATTGCGGTATGGCGGGATATACACCAATCCAACCGTGATAATACATTCCTCAGATTTTATCTGAGCGAAGATCCACCAATTCGAACAGTCAAGGGCTGTGACTTGAAATTCCGCATTCACCAAAAGAGCCAGACCACCCGAACCTCTACCCATAGTACTCTCCTTCGTAGCATGACTCCATATGATCTCATATTTGGACTCAATCCAATGAGGAATGAATCTTGGATCCTCAGTGAGCCAGGTCTCCGAGACACCAATGATGGAAGCATTCCCCAGAGCTTCAGAAGCCTCCCACAGATTCTCCATGCCATGACAGTTCCAGAAACAAAATAAGACCTGGATATATACATAAAACTCCTATAGTTTCAGACGAAAGGCAACAACCACAACGAACACAACTCGACCACAACTCCTGGCTAAACACTCACGTTCGATTTTTTCTTCAAGTTAGGTGGAGGTTTCCCATTCTGCTTAATTTGTTCTTTGATAAAATCACCAGCCGACAGATTCCAAGCAAACCAGTCCTCATCTACATGCACCCCCTCAGCGGTGCTGCCCTTGAAACCAATTTTGGCAGAGTGACCCTCTTGACGCTTTTTCTTTGCAAATTGCCTAGCTCTCCAGTGAATTTCTCTTTCTAGAGCAGTTCTATCAGGCTCCAAAAAGAAGTTAGTGTCTTTAAGGCACGCACCCTTCAACTTTAACAACTCTCTCTTCACATTTAAGCTCTTCAGAGTGACTATCAGACTTTTGTTATCCTCTTTACCAACTGTAACAACCTCAGCAATTTCTCGAACGACATTTTTGACAGTTTTGAAGTACGTACTGAAAAATTCCTTCACCAAATCCAAAGGATCCTTTGATCTGCAGTCCAGACCCCTGATGATGACATTAAGCTTTTTATCAGTTTTTTCCTTACTATCCATGCATTTGGC